AAATTGCAACAAAATCCAAATCTAGTTTTCAAAGCTCTTGGCTCAATGAATTTAGATGGCTTCAATATAATAAAGTTCCCAATGAATGTTTTGTAAATATTGCAAACATTATGAAAAACAAAACGTTTTTGAAACTAGAGGTAAATGATATAAGTATTTATTATTATTTACATAATATTTAATAATTTAAATATTATTATCATTATAGGGTCTGTAAATTTTGGATGAAAAAGTTTTGTTAAAGAACATGCATCTTCGGATCAACATATAGATGCAATAAAACTTGATACGGCTAAAAAAGCAAGAAATAAAGAATCAGTACAAGTTATACAAAAAAGCAAAATCATATAGTTGGAGTTATAAAAATCGTATATACTCTTATAAGGCAAGATATACTATTGGCCAAGCTTCCTTATTTCGTTCAAATGTCCTGTGAATTGGAGTCTCCATTTATTATGGAAGGTTCAATTACTTACGAAAATAAAGTATCTGGTCATGAGTTTGCTTTTGCTACATCAAATATAATTAAAGCTGACATATGAAAAGAAATTAGCAAAGCAGTATCTTTTGGAATCATTATTGATGAGAGCACGGATATTTCTATAAACAAGCATTTAGTTATTTATGTAATATATCCAAATAGCTTAGGTAATGTCAAAACATATTTTTTGCAATTACTTGCACTTAACCAAAGTGATGCAGTGACGATAACTGCTAAATTAATTTCGCTGTTTCAAAATTATGGTAAATATAATAATAATAATAATAATAATAATAATAATATATAGTAAAATTTATATTTTTTTATTAAATAAATACTTTTTTAATAGACATTATAGATAAATTAGTAGCCTTTGCCTCGGATAGTGCATCCGTAATGATTGGAAACAAAAATAGTGTTGCTCAACGATTATCTAAGATATGCCCGTATATTGTTTACAATCACTGTATTGCACATCGTTTAGCATTAGCCTGCAAAGATTCGCAAAAACAGCTTAATTATTTTGCTAG